TGGAGAATCCCCTCGGAGCAGGGCCGGCAGAAAGCCTTCTCCACCTGTGTTCCTCACCTTACTGTGGTGCTGGCATTGCCTACATGAAGCCCATCTCTGACTCCTCATCCTCTCTGGATCTCCTGGTAGCTGTTCTGTATTGTGTGGTGCCTCCATGAATCCGGTCATCTACAGCACGAGGGACAGGGAGATCCAAGCTGCCCTGAGGAAACTGCTTCACAGGCTGATCCTCTCCAAGAAAAATATGTCCATCTTTCTTTCATGAGTTTGCTTTACTTATGTTTCTTTTATAATTAATTCATGAAATAATTGTTTTCATATTATAGTGGTAGCCTATTTACAAAAAATGGATATTGTGGGTTAATTCTGTAGCTTTCTACATACAATGACACTTGACTTGGGTCATTTTGTGTTAGCACTGTTGAAGCAGGAAAGTAATGTTTCATGCATCAATTTTACTGCCTGCGCCACCTAAAATAAATCCCATCAATTACAAGATGATGAATGGAAGTTGGTGTAATCCATTATTTGGGTATAGGCAAATATCCAGATTCTGTGATGGTGGGATGAACTGCAGGCACTTTAGACGACAGGCACAGAATTCAGATGGATCTGGATAGACTGGGAAGCTGGGATAGAAATGATGAGGCAAAGTCCAAGGGAAGAATTGCAAGTTGCTCCACCTATGAAAGAATAATTACAAACACAAATGCAGCTAGGTTATAAATGGCTGTGTGGCAGCACTGTTGAAAAGGATCCTTCAAGGTAGGGATGGCCAAAATCTGGAATGGGCTTCCAAGGGAGGTGGTGCTCTCCCCTAACTTGGGGATCTGTAAGAGAAGCCTGGATAGGCATCTGGCTGGGGTTATCAGACCCCAGCCCTCTGACTCTTTCCTGCCCAGGGCAGGGGGTCAGACTCGATGATCTGTTGAGGTCCCTTCTGATCCTAGCATCTATGAACGTATGGATCTTGGGGATCTGGTGCCTCAGACTCAACGTGAGTCATCAATTTGATGTAGCTACAAAAACATGAATGCAGTTTTGGGCTGAAACAACAGGAGTATTAGTTAGAAAACATGGGAGGGGATAGGGATCGGTGCTTGGACCCGTGCTATTCAATATATTCATTAATAATGTGGACAAGGGGGTGGAAAGCTTGATGCTTAAGTCAGCAGACAATACCAAGCTGTGCAGATACACGGCCATACCAGCGGATAGGGCAACAATCAGAACGACCTTTACAGACTGAATTTATGGGCCGAATAAAGTCAGATGAGGTTTAAGAGGGAGGGAGAAGTGCAAGGTCCTTCACCTTGGTAGGAAGAACCCTCACAGCAACTATACCATGGGTGGTGGTCCTCTGGCTGGCACAAGATCTAAATGAGACCTGGGGGTCACTATCACCTAGAACATGAGTATGAGCTAATAGTGTGTCGAGGCTGCTAGAAGGGAAAACAAAACTCTGGTGTGCATCAATAGATGTGACACCAAAAGACTCAGGTAGGTGCTCCTCCTTCTCTAGTCAGCCTCAGCTGGAGTACTGTGCCTGGTTCTGGGCACCACACTTCAAAAAGAATGTGGATAAGGTCAAGAGGGTACAAAGAAGGTCCACTCATATGGTTAGGGGCATGGAGAGTAGGTCCTATGAGGAGAGACTCTGGGAACTGGGCCTGTTCAGGCTCAGTAGAGAAAGCTGAGAGGTGACTTGATAGCTGCCTACAAGCACATCAGGGGGAGCATCAAGAACTAGGAGAGCAACTATTCAGGAGAGCACCTCAAAGGAAGATGAGGACCTATGAACATAAACTAATAAAGGGTAAGTTCAGGTTGAACACAAGGAAACACTTTTTCTTTGTAAGGCTCACCGGAATCTGGAGCGTACTCCCAGCAGAGGTGGTGCAGTCAGCCTCCTTGGAGGTGTTCAAGATGAGGCTGGACAGGAGCACATCTGAGCCCAATGACTTCCTGCCCATGGCAGGGGACCGGACTTGATGACTGCACAGGTCCCTTCCGGTTCCATGACTCTATAGTGCCAATCTACATGCTGCTGGTTAGGCTTCATCTAGACTACTATGTGAAGTTCTGGGCTGCATGTTTTAAGAAAAAATATTGAAAAGTTAGGGAAGTTCAGAGATAGGTGACATGAATGATAATGGGTTGGAATGCAAGCCATGCAAGGAGAGTTTGAGAGGACTAGACATATTTAGCTTGCAGAGAAGGAAATTAAGGGGGCACATCACAACAGAAATAACTGAATAAGTGCCATGCAGTAGTGAGTGAAAATCAACAGTTATCCATTGCTGCATTGGGAAGCATGTCAAGCTTCCAATTAAAGCAAAGTAATTTTAGATTAGATTTGAGGAAAAAAAGCACCCTTGTTTTCAGAGTAGTGAGGACATTTAATAGATTGCCCAGGGAAGTTGGGGAGTCTCCTTCATTAGAGATGTTCAAGAAGAGGCTGGATGGACATTGGCCAGGGATAATTTTGGAGAAACATTCTTCCATTTGTGCAGGGGTGGGACCACATGATTCTTGAGGCCCCTTCTATTCTATTGTTATTAATTGTGCTTCTAATTATTATTAGAATAAATATAATAATAGAAGTGTGATTTTATTATTATTAATTGCATCGCTAATATGTAGGGGATTTAAACAATGGAGTGCAAGTGAATAGACAGTGAGAAAGTAGGAGTGTTGGATGTCTTATTACACAACCTCATTTTTTTCTCTTTTTCCTTCTGTAAGGCAAGCAGACAGATGGGTATCAGTTCTCATATTGCATGCATGTGTGAAGTGGTTGACCTCAAGTTGGCATTAAGAAGAGTTTACCAAATTATCTAGTTCTACTGAAACAGTACTTCCCATAGAGAAGTGTTTTGGGATCCAATGGGAGCCTGATCACATTAAACTTAGTAGACATAGGCCATGTTTTAGCTATAGTAAATCATCTTGAATCATTGCCATTGGCCAGTACCAGATCCAACAGACCCTTACCTCTTGTCAGCCCATAGACTTCTTGAGTCAAACAGAGCTCCCCAATGCAAGTGAGGAAGTGTCACGACGGATCTGATTTTGCTGAATGCTCATCCCATGAGATGTCAGGATGGTTGAAGTTGCTCATTATGACCATGTACTGAAAGCATGCAGCGTCTGCCAGTTCCCTAGCAAATTCCTGCCTGGGAGGTCTGTAATAGACTCCTACAGTTATATCACCTCCACCATGTTCTCCCTGTATCCTAACCCAGAGGGTCTCAAGTCGCCCTCCTTGGGTGCCAATCTCTGCCTGTAGTGAAGTGTAATACTCCTTCACATAGACAGCTACACCCCTGCCCTTCCTTGCAACACAATCCTTCTGGTACAAGGTATAGGCATCAATACCTGTGGTCCAGTCTTAGGTGGAGTCCCACCAGGTCTCCGTTATCCCTAGGAAATTGTATTCATTTTTGGTTAGCAAAAGGGCCAGTTTCTCCTGTTTGACCCCATGCTCCTGGCAGTTATGTACAGGAAGCAAAGTCTGCCATCAGAAGCTCTGGGATTCCCTGTGCTCTTAGAAGATTCTCATCCCTGGGCTGGGGTAGGAGTGAGATCCTTTGTGTTACCTGACCTCCTGATTCTGTGGTGCCCTAAATCTTCCAGGGTTTGCATTAGTGATTGTCCATCTGTCCCCTGGCAATCTTAGTTTAAATATCATGGCATACTTGGTTTAAAGTATGGCATCATCAGTATTTCCTTCCAATATTAACTGGCAGGAAAAGAGTTTCTGTAGATTTCTGGATGGGCACATCCCCAAATAAAAGGCTATATTAATGCTGGTTGGACCCTAGTGCATGTTTAGCCATCTGTTAATATGAACCCACAATTTTACATATGTTTCCTTTTTTCATGTTAAACCTGAGTGGCTAAATACATGAATGCTGTGTCAATTTTGGCATGATGGAAAAGCATTTTGGAAGGTGAGGACTTACAGTATTTCCTAAGACAACCTATGACTGAATAATGATAGCACATGTCGATCCTGTTGATGTTGTTGGGAGTGACCATTTTCTTTGAAGAGTTCTGATTTTGAGCAATGTGTTTTCTCACTGATTGGTAAATTGAAGCACAATAACTTTTAGTAATCGAAAGTGCTCTGAGTACTAGGTTTGTGGAAAAGTGGTGGGTTCTTCCTCCTCCATTTTGCATAGTTTTAGGACACCTGACATGCACCTAAGAGTCACAGACCCTTTCATTGCCGTGATGACATGTTTTGGAATCCCAAATCTCTTTCGGTTGGATGAAGATGGCAATGTACAAATCTCTTGCAAAATGCTGGCCATACCCAGACCATACTTTTGTGAGGAAGGCAGCTACACTTAAGACAATGCCAACTGAGCCATTGCAGTTTGTGATTCTGGTCTTGGCAGAGCTAGGGCATTGGGCTCTGGCTGCTTTCTGACCATGTCTACATGAGACTGACTGAGCAGTAGTTACTCTTTATATAAGTACTAAATGACTGCATAGTAAATGGAGCTACTGCCTAGTTACACTGACAAACAGCTTTTTCTTAACACTGACTGCACAGTAGCCTGACACCACTCAGCAGTAGCGTCACATCATGTTTTCTGCCATGCGACAGTACTGTGCAGTAGTCTTGGGCTACTGTGCAGTCAACATTTCATGTAGGCATGACCTCTGAGAGTGTCACACCGGGTCCCAGGCTCCCAGATCTGGGCATCACTTGGAGTTGAAGGGGGCAGGCAGCGGGAGCAGATTGCAGGAAGGAGTCAGATGAGGACACAGGAGATCAAACTGAGAATGGGTCTGTGAGGGAAGATGAGTCAGGAAGCCAGAGGATCAGGAGGAGAATGGAGTAAGAGGGCAAGCCAAATCATGAAGCCAGAAAAGTACACAGAGAGCAGGAAAGGCACAAGCTATAATGACCACGAAGGCTGTCTGAGTTCATGACGAACCCTTCCTGCTCCAGGTCAGGAGTTGCAATGGCAGTGCAGTGAAGTGGGGGAGTGACCAGTCACTCTGCTGGTGGGGGAGGGGAGCGGGCAGAAGGGTAGGCCCTCCTTGAGGTTTCTGCACTGAAACGTCAGCTGGAGAGGCTGGGATGAACAGGTTGGGGATCCAGATTTAAGATTTTGGCCTGACAGAAAACAAGATAACAATAAGTCAGTAAAGAGTTATAAATTTCCTGAAAGCCTTGATCTAGATGGAATGACGGACCCAAATCTAAATACACAATAAATGGTTATATTTCCTCCAGCCTCTGTTTTTTTCCCCTACAGGGCCCAGAGTGGAATACTGTGCTCAGAGACATGTGAAGTGATCTATTTGCAGAGATGAGTGCAGATTTTATGAGTCCCAGCCAATCTGACCTGCCTTCACTAGCCCCTGTTTCCTGTCTACTTGTTGCCATTTTAGGCTCTGATTTTCTGGAGGCTATAAGGACATGTCTACAGGTCACCCTACTGTGATGTAGCAATGCACTACTGTAGCAAAACCCCCAGTTTTTCTTTTTTTTTTTTAATTTATTTTAAAATGCATTCCCTCCCCTTTCCCCAACCATTTCTGACTTTTTCCCTCCTTCTCTATTCCCTATAGATAAGTATAAGTGAGCTCAAACTTAGGATACGCTTTAAACATTTCTATTTTGGTAGCAAGTTTTTGGATATCCACTGTTTTATATTGTATAATTATTAGGTTTGTATTAATTTTTACTGTTGTATATTGTATTATCATCATTTTTGTATTAATTTTTATTGTTTCATCTGGATATTGTATGGTTTAGGCCTGTGTTTGTAAGTGAACCCAAGTCATGTCAGGTTTCCATTTTTATTTTTTATTTTTTTTATGTCAAGCCTCCATCTTCTGTCCTCTGTCTGGGCATCCCATGTCGCAGCTGTGAGAGTCAATACCCCTCCCATGTAAATTGGTTCCCCGATGGATAAGTGTGAGTGGAAGTGATTGAAATACAATGGTAGCAGGCCTCTACTGAATGGCCTATGACTGGGCCATCACCTTGCATTGATTCACCCAGGAACCACAGACCTCACCTAGGAACAGAGACAAGACCAGCATTTGAAAGACAAAGGAACCTGCAAAACCAGCAACTCTCACCATTACACACACCTGAAACCGCATGGAGCACACATGCTCAGTACATCAGGGGCTGACCCTTGCCTGGCCATGCCTCCTGTCACTAGGGTCACACAAGGTCTGCCCCTATAAAAAGGGCCAGTGAAGACAGACCCGGTGGGAACGCCATTTCCACCTGGACCAGCACCATGCCACACTGCCTATCCACCCAGAGGCCCTGCCGGCGATCCCCCTCTGGACAACACCTACTGGACAAGGACCCCTTCCAGCCTGGATAGGTAGATATTACCTGCACACCTCCTCCTACAATTTGGACTCTCTCTCTGTGTCTCGCTCTCTCTCCTCCTGGACTTCAGCCCCTGCACCAAGCCTCTTTAACCCCTGCTGCCAGTGTGTGCGTGTGCGCAAGAGAACAAATTTGGCATTGTGTCACCATCTCCCCTGTTCAGTAAAACCACTGTCATTTGCAACCCTGAGTTGGGCTGTGTTTTACTGAGTCCCAGCCCCTTCTCTATCTTAAATTCCAGCCTCATTCTCTCTCAGCTCCAGTTCCCACCCTCTCTGCTAGTTTCCCGATCTCCTCCCAATTCCATCTCCCCTTTTCTGCCACCTCTCAGCCTCTCCTTGCTTTCCTGCTGTCCATCTCTCTGTTTTCAGGCTTCCCCCACATCTCCTGTAAACTTCCACCCCGCCTCACCGCAGCTTCCCAGCTCCTATTAGCTGTCTCCAGCTTCCAGCACCTACTGCTGCTCCCTGGGACTTCTCTAGCTGCCCCGGAGCCATCCTCTGGCTCCCCATACCCAGAGCCCCTCTGTAATGCCCACACTTTCCCTTAGTCCCATTTTCCCTGTACCCATCTACCTTTTCAGCTCCCCTGTAGCTCTGGCTCCAGTCCCAGACTCTGTACTGGCATGCTTCCCTGTTCTGCAGGCTTTGGGCATTGATCTTAATCGATTAAAAGACAATTAATCTAAGAAGTTACCCCCGAGCCTCAGTTCTTCAGCCCAGGCCCCTCTAGTCTACCGGTTCTAATCCCAGTCCCGCCGATTTTCATTTCCAGTAACTTTAACTCCCTACACTTCTACTTCTTACCTTAACCTTTCCCCAGGTATCCCGAGTACATCAAGCACATGAATATATGCACATCACAACACCCAACTTAGGAACTCACCTGTGTGTATGTGTAGGTGGGTGGTATGTGTGAGAATTAGCGAATACACATAGATATCGTTGTGCTCCCAGATGCTACATATCCTGGAGAAGCAGGATACAGTAGAGAAAAGGTGATTAAACTAAACAATCCAAATAAAACTTTCTGGCTTGAAAATACATGAATCCAGGATGGCTTATTTCTGATTCTGTGCTTCAAAGCTAAGCTGGGCTCTAGGGAACAAGTCCCAGAAGCCCTAAGAATAGAGATGTGGATAAGTCACCTTCCTGCTGCACCAGTCCTTCCAAACCAGTGAACTTTATTGTGATCTGCAAAGACAAAATGGTTTGGCCAGTTCAGTCTTGGAGTGAAGAGAAAGCTCCTACTAAGATATTTTGACTTGAAAGATTTGGCAGTGGCACAGAAAAGGGAGATTAGATAGATCAGTAGCAGGAAAAGAAGCGAGGAGTCCTGGCACTGGAGGATCTGTCACAAGCTGAGAAAAATATGTCACAAAGAACATTGCTGTAAGTCTGTTATTGCAATTAGCTGTGGTTGGTTGGTAACTAGGGGGGAGGGAAGGGTTATTTAAGCACCTAAAGAAGACACACACCTGGAAATCTATAACATTTTGATAGCAAGGTATTCAAAATGTCTTAGGTGTTCAAAGGAAAAAAAGAAAGAAAAGAAAACAGTTCCCTTTAGAAAATCTGAACTTGCTCCCAAGAACCCACGTTTCCGTGTCTTTGAAACTAGACATTTTTGATCAAAAGCTCCTGGAGACTGCAGATTTAAACCAAATAATCCTCCCACCCATACATTTATTTTGAGTTCTTCTACATAAAGATATGCTTTTGAAGAAATGTACACATTGCAAAACATTGAGTCTTCAAGTGAAGATATTTTTAAAAGAAATCTCTTTCTAGGCTTAAATTCTAAACCCCACAGCAGAGATTCAGTATTGCCCGGCAACACCAGGATGCCAATCCCACCTATTCATCGCATCCAGACTTTGCTGTTTTCCAGAAAAACCACCTGGAGGAGGGATAACTCAGTAAACCCCACTCCTGATACCCCGCAAAATGCATTTTAAATATCTGAGTGCCTCTCAAAAAAGGGTCAGGGGACCCAACAAAGTGTGATGAGCAAATAAATAGTGAGAAGCATCCCTTGGCCAAAGAGCTTAAGTTCTTGCACCCAAATGACAAAGATCAATGACAAAGTGAAGGTAACAGGAAGATGGGACTGGCCTATCATGGCACAGAGATCACCATCCACCTGAGGTGTGGGGACCATATAAATAAGCTTATTGTGGCAGGTAGATCTCAGTGTAGATTCCATTCCAGACAAGGTGACTCTTGGGATGCCGCCCATGTTTATGTTGCAGATACCAGTGAAGAGGAAAGGAGGATGTGCTAGCACTTTATTGACCAGCATTTTATTGCCATCATAAGTGCCGTGTTCAGTGAGCATGCTCTTGCTGTGGCTTTGTTTTTTCCCCGTGAATCTTGTTTTTCCTGTTGTTGCTATTAAAAATTGAATATAAAATGCAGCCAGCCAAAATTACCATATTGGTTTTCTACGATGGTTCATAGGCTACTGTTTCAAGGCCTCTGAACACTATTCTGCCCTCCATACCGGGCCTTTTGATTTCACTATGTCCCTCTGGTCAGCTAACTTGATGAAGGGAGGTAGTTTTACAGTGAAATTTGAAATGGAGGGAGGGGGGGGGGAAAAAAGAGGAGAATGATGGCATTGAGCAATTAAAAGACAAACCCTGTGTTATTGCAGTCCCAATCAAATAATTATAAAACTTGCTTTTGTCTGTAATATTCTCTTTTCATTGGTTTTGTGTTTCTATATATATGCCCACAGGTAAGGACTTTTGTGCACCTTTTTTAAAAATGCAAAAAAAATTTAAAAATTAAATATCTGAATGATATTACTTTCTACTGAAAAATTTACAGCCCTTTAGCATAGACCCCATTGACAGTTTGCTCATGAGTTATTTCTGACATGAGATGCACTCCTGTTATACTTCTTACTTGGATCCTGACCAGTACCCTTGTCTTTCCTTCACAGGCCTTGCACAATGCTTTGAAGAGGGAAACATCCAACCAAACCACCGTGACCGAGTTCCTCCTCCTGAGGTTCTCTGACATCCAGGAGCTGCAGATGTTACACTTCACCACGTTTCTGACAGCATACCTGGCAGCTCTGATGGGGAATCTCCTCGTTATCACAGTTGTAACTCTTAACCACAAGCTTCATTCCCCCACGTTCTTTTTCTTGATTAATTCGTCTCTCCTGGACCTTGGCTCCATCTCAGTGACAGTGCCAAAATCCATGTCTAATTCTGTATTAAATACCAACTCAGTTACCTAGTCTGGATGTGTTGCCCAAGTGTTTCGTCTCATAGCCTTCATGGGAGCAAATTTATCCCTTTTCACAGTTATGGCATATGACCGGTACATTGCCATCTGCAAGCCACTGCATTATGAGATAATAATGAACAAGAGAGCTTGCATCCAGATGGCTGCCTGTGCTTGGGCTGCTGGTGTCATCTACTATGCACTGCACATGGGGAACACCTTTACCATACCCTTCTGCCACTCAAATATCATCAACCAGTTCTTTTGTGAAGTGCCCCAGCTACTCAAGCTCTCCAGGTCTGACACATGCCACAGAGAGCTGGCAGTTCTTGCCTTCAGTGTTTTTAGGTTTGGATGTTTTGCTTTCATCGTTGTGTCGTATGTTCAGATCTTCACTGTGGTATGAGAATTCCCTCTGAGCAGGGCAGCCAGAAAGCTTTCTCCACCTGCATTCCTCATCTGATTGTGGTCTCCCTGTTTAGCTCCACTTGCACCTTCACCTACGTGAAACCCACCTCCACCTTCCCATCCTCTCTAGATCTTCTGACAGCTGTTCTGTATTCTGCGGTTCCTCCAATGGTAAATCCATTCATCAATAGCATGAGGAACAAGAAGATCAAATGTGCTCTGAGAAAACTGCTTCAAAAGGTAGATTCTCTCCAAGAACAGGATGTCCCTTTTTACTTTGTGTGTTTGGTGTACTACTTTGTTTCTTTAGATCTATGAAGAAATCATGAAATTAAGTTGTCATAATGTCGTGTGCATTCTGCTCATGAAACATGACAGTTCTCAGCTACTTTCAGCAGTGCTATAAAAAGTCTGTGTTATTCAGCTGGAGTCATTTTGTGTTAACATTGTTGAAGTGCAAGCGAAAGAGTCTGGTGTTCCTTGTGCCACCTCAAATAAATCCCTTTAAGTCAAAGATGATGATGACTTGTGGGATGTGGTTTTCTAAATGGTATGATGAATGATTTGGATGCCTGAATACAGCGCTGCAAGAGAAAATTTGCAGCTGACACAGTCTGGGAAGGCTTGCAAATACCCTGGAGGACAAGAGTGCAATACAAATGGTTTTAACAGATCAGATAACTGGGTGAGAGGTAACAGGCTGAAAGTCAATATGGATACATTTAAGATGCTATATCCAGGAAAAAGCAATGAAAAACACAAATACAGAATGGGAGATAAGTGCCAGGGAGCCAGCACTTATGTGAAGGATCCACGAGTTTTTAGGGATCACAGAATCAACCTAAATTGGCAGTTTGGTGCAATTGTAAAGAAAGCAAGTGCAATTTTTGAGCTGTATTAAGAGGTGTAAGACACTTGAGGTGACAGTGACTTCACTTTTTAAGAAGGAAAGGACGTAGCTGGAATGGGTATCCAGGTAGGTGAGAAATGTAATAATAAAGTCTTTGAAAGGTAGAGCGTATAAGAGAAGTTTGACAGAACCGGGCAAAGTTATTTAGGGCCAGATAATACTTAGGGGTATTTTCAATGCTGATTTTATGATAGTCTTCAGAATTATTGTTTCTGCAATAGACTCACAGGTCTAATATGAATATAGCATGAGTAAGGACTGAAGGTTAAGTATGCGCCTAACAGTTGTTTAACCTACATTTAATCTGACCAGGTTAGGTAAAAATTCTAATATTATAAAAGCCTTAGTCTTTCTGTCCATCAGGCTTTATTTGCACTCTGACTGGCAGTGCATAGTCCCAAAGCATGAATTTCCATGGAACAACATGCCTTTGACCTGGGTGAGGAACCTTCAATAGACTCCACAGAATCCTGTGCAAGGACATTGGAAGCCAGGGCTTGGAGGTGAAAGAGCGAGAATGAGAACTAGATTTGGTAGAGGTACTCTAGATTTCTACCTTTGTGAATGACCTCAGGTTTCATAAAAGGATGGCATGGATATATCTGGTTATCATGGAGACAATTATGCTACGAGTTGATTATATCAGTAAAGACAGAGCATACTACAAAAGTCATGACAAAAATGGGAACATCCATGGGTGGATGCAATATTTCCTAAAGTGGTGTGCAGCATACCACCCTTCAGACAATGGGGGGGATAGGATGAGGCATGGATGTAGCCCCTGCATGCAGATCTGGGGGCATATGCCTCCCCTGCCCTCCCAGGCTGCATGCCTCACTTCCCCACGCCCCCCAGATTACCCACTCATGGCTTTGTCCCCTCCCCGGCCAGGCTGTACAGGGCTTGACCCTCCCTCACCGCCACTGAGGGGTGTTTATGGAAGCCTCGGTGATGAGGAAGGGAGTGGGGTTAGGGCTTGGGCCACAAACTGCATGGCCCTCACAACACTCCTTCCCTCCCCCCTGATGATATACATAACTAGATTGATTATTGGATCCAGCATGGAATAGAGCATAGCTTTTATGAGATCAAGAGCTGATGGGAAGCTGGAGAAGGCTTAATGCCGCCCTTGCTCAGATGGGCACTGTGTTGAAGATCTAAATGTATGATACAATTAGGAAAACGAAATGGGTCTAAAGTTATGCAAACACCAACAACAATTATTTCAAGCTCTGTAAGGTACAAGTTGATGCAAGTGAGCTTGATTAGCTGAGGGATTTCACAGAAGAACTGGTTGATGATATTAGCTTCTTGGAAAGATACACTAAAGGTGTTACCACTGTGCATGGCACAATATAGAAAACCACAAATCCATGCACTGGCTGCCATTTAGATGCAAGCTCTCCTGTTCAAGATTGTCTCATAGTGCAGTGTTTTGTAGATGACAGTGCATCGATCATGTGCTGTGCTGGTGAGGAAAGGGAAGTCAGTTTCAAGGAAGAACAAGAAGAAAAGGACTTGGACGACACATCCAGCACAGAAGATGGACCTGGTGTTCAGCAGAGAATTGGCTAAAGATATCGAGATGGTGACAGAGACAGTTCCAAGTTCTGGGATAGAAAGATTCAT